AAAAAAAAAAAAAAAAAAATAGCAATCATACACAGATAATACAATAAACCCTAAAGGGTTTTCAACTTTGAAGTCTTAGGTTCGATTCTCTAAGCTATTGATATTACTTTGTGACATATTTTTCTTATAATTCGAAAATGTCATACTTTAAAAAGTTATATAAACAAAAGTATGCCATAGTATACATATTGTCTATATAGTATGACGTATCGACCCATCTAACCGTACCGTGATACTACTCCCTTAAATTTTCTTGTATGCTACATCCCTAAGCAAGATTAGGCTAATATTTTACATCTAAACATGATTTGGATTTAAGCGTGTGCTATAGTGTGTGAATATATAACTCATCACTAGAGATGAGCACACACAGTTATATTTTTCAAGCACATTTAATTTATAACATGTGTCAATATACTATAACCGTAGATGATTGACATTGCGAAAATTAATCTATTACTATGTATTTTAACTGTATTTATTTTAAAACACGTGTCGATACACAATTTTTATGTAGACTAATGAACTTCCTCATCAAAAGTCAAAAGTCAATTAATAATTGTGAGATATTGCATAATTTTAACCGATTCGCCCGTATTTAATAGAAAATTTCCTAATCGATCATTGTTTATTAATTGCCAAAAGGGCAACATACATTACCCAAGAGCGCTTGGATGAGATGGATTGGGTCTCTTCCAACTTAATCAGTGGTCTCATGTTCGAGCTCTGGGAATGCAGCAGTGTTAAAACTCTTGAGGGAGAGCTTTGTCGTCCTTGTGGTCCTACCCGACTCGATTCCGGATTAGTCGGTTCTTCTGTGGATCTGGAAACCGGAAGGTCTCTGTACCAAAAACAAGGGCAACATACATTGTGGTTTAATTTTACATGAAGTTCAAGATATTATCATATAATACAGTATATATTTTCCAGCAAGGCAGAATTTGTTTTTATTTTACTATATTTATTTCATTTAATAATTATTTATTTCATTTAATAATTATTAGTAATTTTGAGATGAGGAAACTGACGCGCGCGGGTCATATGTGGGAAGCAAACAAAAATATGACACTGATTTGAGAGAGCATCGCACTTCTTTTTAAAGCCTCAACTCCTCACAATTTCACCCAAAAATCATTTGATAACAATAAAAAAAAAATAAATCAAGAAATATAAATTTGATATATTTTTTTTTTTTTTTTTTGAGAAATAATTGTCTACTGCAATGGTTTCGAGGGAGCACGGGAAGGAATCAATTCATGATAAGCTTCAAATTCTACGTTCCATCACTCATTCTCACGCAGTAACTAATTCTATTCCCTGCATTTATTTATTTTTTTTT